TCACTTGCAGCCTATGCTTGATCAGAAAGTACTATATATAGCAAGAGATATTATCGAGATATTTGGTTTCTAGCTGTTTTGCGTTTGTCTTGAGATGCATCCAATTTGACTGTTGATCAGGGTGATGTGCAGTACTACATCGTGTGGTTTGTGTCGACTTTACTGAAGACTTGCATATCTATGCCTCCTAACACAAATTACCTGCAAAAAATAGAAAAAAAAGGCAGAGAAATTTGTCATGGCTCCCACTAAATTTTGGGTACCTTACTTTCTAAATAAATTTCCTTGCAAGAAATCTTAGTTGTCCTATGCACTATCCTGAGCTGTTCATTTAGAACATTAAGAAAACTGCAGAGAATATTGACAAGGCTGCAAACGAGCTTCCCCATGCTAATTTGTTCAGACTAAACAAATACACATTTTTAAAAAAAAAATAAGTATGGCTGGGCACTTCCAACAAAACTTATAGAACAGGGACCTGACAAGTAGCTCTTTTGTTTAGTTGGATCAAATAGTGACAGGCAAAATTGATTTATTCTTTTGCGGCCAAGAAAAAATAGCAATTGCATAAGTTTTTTTTTTAACCTGACAAAGCTGATCCATAGTTTGCAATGATGTGCTTTCACAACACTTTTGGACCTAATATTATCAATGTAATATGAGACACCAGGAACTTTATATTTATCAAAGCTAACTCTTTTGGTTGTACTTTGTTTCTTTTTATTTCAGATTGGTTTTATTAACTTAGAGAATGAAGACTTCGCCAAGGATACTGTAGATACCACACAGGCTAACCTACAGCTACAGGTACCTTTTAAAAAAAACAAAAAAAAGAAGGCAGTACAATTTGACACCGGAGTGCAGAGTTTATAAAAAAAGACTTGAGAGAAAAAAACGGAGTGCCACTCAACTTAGAAAGGAGAAGAAGAAAGAAAACAAAGGAGGCAGCAACAGCTACAGGGAGAGGAAGCTAATTACAAGAAGTCAAACCAGAGCTGGATCAAGGTCTTAAAATCTTCCTTTAATCTAAGGGACTGAGAACCTAAAGGTAGCCTTATTTGTCCATTACATGAACACTCTTTTGTAATTTTAAGATCATAGCTTTAAGAGTGACTATTGCCTTGACTGCAGGATGCCTTGCACAATGAAAATCACGATAGAATAGGGTGTCGCTGTGATTTTCTCAGTGGCATTTTAAGTAAAATTTACTTTGCTTTTGTCTTCATGTAGTTAATTATTGGTTTCCTAACATGTCCTTAGTTGAATCGCTTGTAGTTTTATAGTCAGCCATGATGTCTTCTTTTGAATTGACAATGATATGCATGAATAAGAACCTATACACTCCCTCCATTTGTTTTTAGTTTTCCCTACTAAGAAATAACGTAATAGTTGTTTGGTTCCTTATGGTTTATTTTTTCAAGGTAATGCCTAAATGAATTTTAAGGGGATATCTTTTATCATATTTTGTTACTCTGCACTGCTTGTTCATGGTGATAGGTTCCATTAATTTTCAGTCCTCGATATAATTTGGCTTTACTAACGTTCTATCTGAACAACTGATTGTACATGAGGAGGTAATTGCTGCAGGTCAATGTTGTAAAGGACCCGTGACAACAAGTTGGAGATCCAAGCACTTGCGAAAAGAAGTATCATAAAAAAGCCATGCATTATCGGATCACAAAACCAATGCTATAAGAAGTATTGTGAGTTCCACACTTAAAACTTGTTGGCATCTGCACAGTGAAATTTCTTAGGCTCAATTCAGCTACAGTTGTGCTCGAGCGGTCCAGGGCCGTGCATAAGAAGTAATCATCCCGACTCTTGCATTGGATGGGATGCCTTACTCTGAGATTGGCATCTCCGATGAAGTCAAGGAACACGTAATATACGTGCATTATTTGCCAACATTTGGTAAAATGAAATGATCCATCATGTTCTCTTTTCTGATGCAAACCGCAACTGCTTTGGTGATTTCAGGTTGACCTCATCAATGCACAAGGACATGGAACTCTCCATGGATTTTACGATGATACTCCAGAACTAGGAGGAAGCAAATGCAGATAGAGCTATATTGGAAACGCTAGCCAAGAAACTCAAGCTGCAAAGCCTTGTGGATTTTATAGCAGAGACTATGGCCATTAAAAAGCTCATAAATGAGAGGAATGGCCAACAACCAGAAAGCACCAAGCACATAATAGAACTCCTCAACAAGTTCAAGGAGATTACAGGCATCGACGAAAAGAACATCCTTGGGATGTCTCCATACCAAAATATCTAGAGAAATGCCCATCTTTGATGATCCCAAATGAATTTCTCTGTCCGATATCACCGGAGATCATTACTGACCTTGTCATCATTGCGAGCGTGAGGGTATGCTTTGTGCTATGCCATTCATGTTCCCTGATTGCAAAGCGAGATTTATTGTCTCACAATCCATATTTCACCTGATTTGCAGACTAAATAGAGAAGAAGTATCGAAGTGGTTAGATGCTGGCCAGTGGACATGCCCAAAGATGCAGCAACCATTAGCTAACTGCAAGAGGTTTCAGTTTCCAGCCATGGAAGTGCGGAATTATGGTAAGGACTCTGCTTGTGGTTTTTTTTGTCTTTGAAATCAATGCTTATGTTCTCTTCCTGTGTCAAGAAGAAACGATTACCATGGGAATGGAACCATATGACTGTTCACCAGGCAACATGCATGTGTTCCCACTTATCACTCAAGAAAATGCAAATATCAACCATATTTGGATGCACAGCACTGCAAATCTAGCCTTGAGTTGTTTCTATCTCAACAACAAAATGGTTCAATGTAGGGAAGCTCGACAGCATCTGCTAACTGGAACTGGATAGTTGGTCTTAGGTTGGACGGGGAGAGAAACACAATATATATCGAGGCATAGATTAAGTTAATCCTTGTTGTATTGGACAACATAAGTTTGATCCTTTTGGATAATGATATAATAACCTGTAAGTTTGTCTCACTCCTTATTTTATACCACGTTTATTGTTACTTTGCATCACCTAAAATGTGATCGTGGTGTTCATAGGGGTTGGGTTTCTATCGTCGGTTCATATGGGTGGGTGTGCGTGCGTGTGGCTGGTGTCTATATTGTCTTTGTGTAATTCTAAAAAAAACAGCCAGAGAAAACACTATCTCAGATTACTCGGATTCTATTGTAACCAGTAGTGGACCCAGGAAGACTTGAGCCCGGGCAAATTTTAATATGATGAGTATTTGCTACGGAAAAAATATTTTAATCCATCAGATAGTATAACAACTTCGTTGCGTTTCATTGCGTATTCGTCGAGGAGCCTGGACTGCTGGCTGGGGTCGCCGGGAGGTGAGTCCGCCTATGGTTGTAACCGACTAAAATTTGGTATGTCAGGACTTCAAACTAATCTTTCGAACCATAAATGATTTCAAAGGAAAAAGTTCTCAATTGCAATGTTCTATATATTTTAAATATCATAACTTTGGTTTGACCATTTCTCTATCTGAAATCGTTCGAAAAACTAAAAAAAATCTGAATTTCAAAATGCCAAAACTTCAAATAGAAATTGTTGGATCCAAATGAATTTAAATAAAAAAGTTGACATCTACAAAGTTGTAGATCTTTTCGAGATATACAACTTTGATATAAAATTTATCTTCGTCTGACTTTATCAGAAAAATTTATAAATTTTACTATGTTGCACCTATTTTTAGAGATGGTTCTAGATCCAACCATCTTTAAAAATCAATTTTAGAGGTGCTCTAGGTAAAGCGGACTCTAAAAATTCATTTGTCACACCCATGTCGTCGTCGAGGCTGTTCGTGTAGGAAAAAAAAATTCTCTGCACTTACAAAATCTCCCGTGCAACACCATTTTGGTGCTGTCCACATGTCCTTACTTAACGTGATGGAGCGCTGCGTTCCGCAGCAAGATAGGGCGATCAAAAATCAGATGGCATAAGGTTGGTGCTGCACGGGAGATTTTTCTACACATCACGAGTGCAGGGAATTTTTTTTTTCAGTTCGTGCATACCGTAAGTGCAATCACCAAACGGTCCATGATAAGAGACGATGAGATCCCAGAGCGAGGTGCGCACAAACTGTCGCTATCTTTGACATTTCTTCGAATTACTTACCGTGTGTGCAACTGTGCAAGCCAGATCCGAGATGCATATGCTGACACGCATCATGCATGCACCTCGGTCTACTGCAGGTACAGAAGCGCAACCCCCGCCGTGTCGTCGTCGTCGTCTCTCTAGCTGGGAGGACGACGACTCGGGTTGTTACGTTCATCTCTCCGGCGATCTACGTGGCGAAGAGAAAAAACGCCGGGGTGTGTATATGCGGGACCAACTGCCCGGTGCCTCCCGCGGGCCGCGGCCACCACGCGGTCCAGGTCCTTCGTGCCGAAGCTTTGGAGCGCCACCTGGCTCGGAGACGGGGTCGTCCAAGCCAAGCGGATGAGGAGGCAGAGAGCTAGAATTCCAACTTCCAAGGAAATTATCCCTCGTCCGCGAGGAAACCAATTCCACGCGTTGCCTACGCGCTCTGGACGCTGATTGCAATCGATGACGTAGAGTTTTATATATACTTGCATGCTGTAATCACCGAAACAGATTCCTTAAACTGGAGATGAAGTCGCTGGAGCAAAATGAAACAAAAAAATGGAATTGCCCTTGCGTTCTTCTCTATCGATCGTGTTTTCTCCAGCGAAGATTTTGAAGAACTGGATCTGCTCTAGCTAGCTAGTGTTCTATACCATATATGTCCATTGGAATGGAAACAGAAAAATTTAATTTGCTCGATCAAGTAGTAGTCACATGACAGCGTTAGATAGAACTATATATAGAAGCATATATATACAAAAGAGCAGTTACCTTGATGAGTACATATATATCTACAAAGAGAGCTGGGAATATACACTTTTTCATTTACACCGCATACAGAGAGAGAGAGAGAGAGGGGGGTGGGGTTGTAAAACGATCTTATGGCGCGCGTAGTCGCGTACTTACCCGCGTGAGTTCATCAACGAAACCAGCATATTCAGCCCGATGATCCAGATAAGATACGCCACGAGCAACCAGGCGGCCGGTGGCGGCTCGGCGACGGCGTCAGCGAGGAGAAAGTAGACGGCCGCCGCGACCATCGCGACGAGAGCTACGACCGCGCGACGGCCACGCGGCCAGATACGCCTCCTCTGCCCGCGGCGGTGCCCACCGCCGTTCTCCTCCTCACGGTTCGGCGGAGGCGGCGGCGGGGCCGGCGCCTTCCCCTTGCCGCGGGCCGTCAGTCCGCCGATCAGGCTTTCTTCCATCACCGATCCGAGGCCGCAATCGTGAGCTAGGCTAGCTGCCCAGTCCTTCTCGCGTTGTGTGGAGGAGGGGGTGTGAAGTGAGGGAGCTTGTGAATGAAGTCTCTATGAGCTGAAAACTGGCCTCTCTTTTTTATGCCTGCTGTACTGGAAGAAATGGAGGCTTGGGCGAGGGTGGGACTGGGAGAGGTTCCTTGAAAGCTGGCAGGAGGATCGGAGCTAGCTTCTCGGAAGCTTCGATGGCTTACGTGGCAACATAAGAAAAGCATAGCATGGTGGTATAGTCGGCAGTGGATATATTTAGTCAGGACCTGCCCATGGCTAAAAAGCAGATATACGGACTTTTCCAACTCACCAAAAATTATTGAATGAATAAATAACACTATCTCCAACAATTTGCAATAATTCACTCCTAAAATATAGAAAATAATTTTACATTAGAAATCCTATACTAAATTCAGCCTGTTCGCTTGGTCGTATTTGGTTTATCAACCAACGAACAGTATTTTTCTCTCACATCAAACCAGCCAACGGTACTTTCAGCCATGGCTTATAAGCCAAACAAGCCCAAACGAACAGGATGATTATCATTTCCTACTCTTTATTCTTTCTCACACCCTTCCACCATTAGATTGGCCGATGGATACGCACGTCTCCCATGAGTAGATACGCGTGGATATATCCGCCGATCGGTCTATTTTTTCCAAGTGCGAAAAGATTAGGAGGTGGGATTAGTAACAGTTGAAGATGAGTTTTCTTTCCATTCTTACCAAAAGTTCTAGGTTAGAAGGCTTTATTGGAAATTATCGGAGATGCTACACCTTAACTAATAGATATACCATACAAGTAATAAATTATTAGTAGCCGGAGGATCCAGACGGTAGCAACCTGCTAGATAAAAAAAAAGGCTCGTATAAAGTTCGGACAGTACTATATACTCCTATATATACATGTGGGTAGCAAGCTGCTGGATCAAATAAAAAAGGGCTCTTGCATTTTTACCTTTGCTTTGTATCGAAATTGTGATTTTACCCTCACTTTTTTGACTTTGTGAATTTACCCCTTTGTTTTTGAAACGAAACACCACTTTGCCCCTATTCCGTCATCCTCCCCTAACGGTGTTACATTTTATACAAAAGGACAGAAATGCCCCTGTGATTTGACCCCTGTTTGTTATGACTATTTGTGATTTTGCCTCTGATTTAGGAATTAGACATTTATATTTGATCAAATATATTTGGCCCAACTTGCAACTATTTCAATTCGGATTTAATATCCAAAAAAATATTCAAAATTCTGGCAGCGCCTTAGCAGTATTTTGATAGCATTATGACTAGGTCTGGGCGTTCGGTTCTAACCGAAATTTTGGGTCAGTTTTTTCGGGTCGGTTCTAACCCAGCCTCATAGGCAGCATATCGACACAATTTGTATTCTCAACGAACAAAATAGAGAGGAGATCAAGTCTTGTATATACATTATTGAGCACACAAGTGAGGAGATAAGTATTCGAGTCTCATACTACGTAGATGCGAGATTCTAGGCTACGGCGACTCCGTTTGTACTGAAGCCAGGCCGCTGCTTCCAGATTTCTGGTCATGCTTCTTTGCTTCTTCCTTTAGGACCTGGCGGACGCAAGAATCCAAGGAGCTTCCCGAATCCCTGTCGCTTGTCCCTGCCTCGGCACACAGCGCTGCAACGGTGTTGCTTGGAGGCTGGCACGGCAGCACCAGCGGATCCGTGGCAAGCCGACAACCCCCATGCTTGCTCTGCTGGTGCGCTCGCTACTGACGCTCGGTGTGGCCTGTGGCGGGCGATGCCGGGATGTGCGGTCGGATGCCACCGGAGCCCCGCGGCAGGGCGCCGCCGCCGCCTCGGCGCGCGCACGCCGAGACCCATGGGTGGGCGCCGCGACCTCCCCGTGGCCGCTTGGAGGAAGCCCACGCCCGGCCGATGCAGCATGCCCATGGCTAGGGAGGCAGCCGCCCCATTGGTTCTTCCGCTTGCCATACACCGCCGCCGAAAGCCCACGACCGGATGCAGCCGCGTACGAGACTTGGGATGAGGCGACCCGTGCTTCTGTTTGGGATGAGGCGATAAGGATAGAGGGCAATGTGGTCATTTCACCTTTGCTTTTTAGATTTATAATTTTTTAATTCATTTAATCCATGTCCATCTGACGGACGTCTAAAGCAGGGGCAAACGGACCATTCATTTCAAAATAGCAGGGGTAAAAATACAAAGTTGAAAAAGGGGAGGCAAAATCACAATTGGACTACTGGACAAGGGCAAGAACACAATTTTCCTAATAAAAATGCTAAGACTCCTCCGCGGGCCCTCTCATCTGCGTTTGCACCCTCGGACGCTCCTAGCTAGGCTTGCTGACCGACCCATTGGCCTGCTCCCACCTTTAGTTTGTCGGCACCGTTCTTTAATTAGCAACGTGGCTCCTTCTGATCCACATGACTACACGTGGAGGCGCTCCGCTTCCTGTCTCTGCCTAGCCACGCGACGTGCACACTCGGCCCGACAGCTCCATGACACACAGGCGCCATCGGCGCCCGATGCGGCTGCGGGCTGTCAGCTCGACGAAAGCGTTGAGCTCGTGGCATGTGTGCCATGGCAGCCACCGGGCGCTGCATCTTGCGCGCCTTCCAATCCATCTTCTTGGGTAGCGTAGCGTAGCCCGTGCGGGTCGCCGGTGTCGGAGAAGGAGCCTTGCTCGACGAGCATGGTGAAGAGGGCATCGAAGCGGCGGAGCAATGGGTCGGCGCCACGGTCAGATAGGCGGGTCATGGGCAATGGCACGGGAGTAGGTGGAGCTCGACAAAATTAGCCCACAACCCTACGCCACGCCGTGCACCGGCCGGCCAAGCCCCGACCGAGGCCGCACCCCATCCCCCACCGCAGTTCCCCACCAGGTAGGCCATGGCCGCCGGCGATGTCATGTTTCAGACTTACGTTTCAAATGTTTCATATGAATGTTGCAAAAGTCGATCTAGGATGTTGCATATATTGCAATGACAATATACGCATGTTGCAACACATGTTTTCGAGTGTTTTAGTTGTTTCAAAAGTATGTTTCATCATGATGTTGTAGAAGTCTGTCTGGATGTTGCATAACATGCATGTTTCAAACGCATGTTTGAAGTGTTTCAGGTCTTTCATACGTATGTTACAAGTGTTTTATTTGTATATTGCAAAACTAGATCTAGATGTTACATATGTTGCTATAGGTATACACGCATGTTTCAAACGTATATTTCAAATGTTTCTTCTATTTTCAATCGCATGTTGCAAGTGTTTCAACTAGATGTTTCAAAAGTAGATCTGGGGGAACACATGTAGCAATGGCCCCGATGGCTGGCTGGCAGCGGCCTGCCGTAACTGCCTACTAGTGTTGCCGGCGTGGCGCCCATGGGTCACCATGCGGGTGCCTGAGGCCAGCAGACGCCTCCTGACGCGCATCCACAGGCAGGGTGAGGAGGGCGCGGGGGCACGCTCCTGTCTGATATGGCCCGGTGGGGTAACGGTCCTCCTGTGACGCGGGCGCGGCAGGCATGGGCGAGCATACGTTTTACGCTAAGCACGCGTTGGGCAACGATAATATTTTCGTGAGCGGGGGGCACGGCGCGGGCATTTGGACGCGTGCTTTTATCTGGACGTCCGGACGCTGGACCCTGAAAAAAAAAAGGCTCGTATAGACTTTGGACGATTCTGTAGCAGTGGACAGTACTATACGTGTCACTCTACAACCGAATAACGACAACCATAGATATTTATTTGTCCTTTGTTGGAAGAGTAAAACTAAAGTAAAAGCATATACTGAACTTTGACTTATTAGGCCCTGAAATAAAAAGATGGAGTGTAGCTTCTGAGTGAGTGCTTCTTATTCGACGACGGAAATCCATTGGACCTGTTTGGAAGGGGTTGTAATATATACAATCGTATATTTGCACGAATGGTAGGTTCGGATTGAAACTTTTGAATAATTCATATTTGAATTTTTTTTGTTTGACTTCTCTCAAACTCAATTCTGACTGGAAACTTCGAAACTTGGAACACTCAATAGTTTGTCTTTGCAAATTTCAAATTAGAACGTTATTAGGTTCAAAGGTTTATTATATAGGATGCATGGCACAGAAGTAGATCGTGCGTATACTTACCTTCGACATGTTACTAGCATGGAACAACGCCAGGCCAGTCGCCAAAAGGTATGCTTTCCGTGCTTTCATTTCGGTAACGGCATTTATTAAATAAAGCTAATCAAAGATGGGAATGAAAGCGTGTGGAAGCTATCTAACAACATCAGCACGCGCTCTCGGGTCAAACCTTTGGCACATTGCGTTGTCATCAGTTGCCAGCGCTAGCGGAGTTTTATTTTACTCTATTTTTGGTAAAAGAGCTTTTTACTTTTATCTATCGCAATCTTTTACCCATGAGAGGACTACTCCTTCCGTTTGGTGAAACTTGACGTTCCTAACGGGAAGGAACGGTGTAGCTCCATTATAAAATCAGCCGTCAGGAAAGACATATTTCTAAAATTTAGTTTATGTTAATATTTATTCTGATTCGTTGTGAGAAAAAATACTATTTATTCAGCGAACAGGTAGCCATATACTGCTATTACCATGCAGTCCATCCGTCGGCCGCGCCCGCATGCATCATTCATCAACTGTTCTGCACCTCCAAAAGCCTATCGAATCTCATGACGTCTGCCGCACTACTCCTACGCCATATACAGAGAGAGATAGAGACATGCGGGGCCCCATGTCCACGTGTCGATCTCCAGTTCGAGAAACCAATGCGTGCCTAGACCGGCGGGGAAGATTCGGGGCCCGCGTGCCGCCGTGCAATTTTCCAGTCCACTCGATTTCAGTCCTAGATTACGGCTGCTAGCCTCCGTGACCGCGTGACGCCGCAATCACCCAGGTGACAAGAGCATTGAATTGATGATTAGTACAGTTAGACTCTAACCAGGGACTCGATCAGAGTCGCGTGTACTA